ATGTGCAATTTTTTTTAAAGATTTGATACTATCTTGAAAAGTTCTAGAGCTCTATGCAAGAATTTTAAATAGATCCGGTCATTAAATACAAAAAAACAGACTTTCAAAAAAAGGTGCGCTAAGTTCTCGCAGCGCACCTAATCAAAAAAACTATTTAAATTAACTATTTCTTTAGAGTTCCGGTTTGTTTTACAATAGTTCTAGAGTTCTATATCATATATAACAATAGTTTTAAAGAAATAGTTGATTTTACTGATTAAGTGCGCTTCGAGAACTTAGCGCACCTTTTTTCAATAGTTCCGGTCATTAAATACAAAAAAATAGACTTTTAAAAAAAGGTGCGCTAAGTTCTCGCAGCGCACCTAATCAAAAAAACTATTTAAATTAACTATTTCTTTAGAGTTCCGGTTTGTTTTACAATAGTTCTAGAGTTCTATATCATATATAACAATAGTTTTAAAGAAATAGTTGATTTTACTGATTAAGTGCGCTTCGAGAACTTAGCGCACCTTTTTTCAATAGTTCCGGTCATTAAATACAAAAAAACAGACTTTCAAAAAAAGTCTTACAGACTTGGTGTGCCAAGTCTTGTATATCGAGCAATGCTCCTATTTATTTTGCACGTACTTTCATTGCGTAAAAGCATTTGTAATTCTGTATAACCAATGCAACGTAAACTTTGCAGAAAAATGTCAGTATTCTGTCGGTAAAGTTTTTAGCTTCAGCATTCCCTTAAAGAGTTGAGTAAAATTGAAAATTTTGTGTAAAATTATACTTCAAGTGAGACACACCTGTGTCATGACGTAGATAGCACATGTTAAGAAATTTTTATATGTTCTCTAAAGTAAGATAATTTAGTAGTGTCACGTATATCAGCAGTTACTTGCAATTATAATAACTTGAAGCGCTGCCACTTTGCTCAATAAAAAAGCGTGCAGCCGCGGTTTTACGACCGAGCGCGCGCGCGCACACATATACACGAGTTTCAAGAAAAGATAAGCGCTCTTATCTCGCTTGCTCCGAAGATTTTCCCCAAAGAGAAACGATACTCACGTAGCGAACGATTGATGGACCAGCTGCCATTTAAACGTACCGCGCGGGATCCTTTTGGCGGTCTGCTTCATCGCGGCCGATCGCTCGCCACTGAACTCACGTAGGGGTTCACGAAAAAGATTTTCGACTTCCGACATTCGCGAACGTGAGCGGCATTTCTCTTCGTTTCGGCGGAATGATGACAATGCACGCGTGACGAATCGCCCCAGCAGCCGGTGCAACCGAGAAAAAGTGCTCTCGGCAGTCCCTCTCGGCGCACGAAATATGCAAAAATGGTTTGGCAAACAGATACGCTCACACACACGCAGGATACCGCGGTCCACGGCCGCTCCTCTCACGCCCGTCACTCACCTTATCACCCCTCGTCTTTATTTATTAACCCCGAGCCCGCGAGTCACCGGACATTTTTGTCTACGCGGAAAATACCTGCATGGGACGGTCGTAAATGTCGCAAGAAATATTACACTGGCCACTGGCAATGTTATATTTCAGCTTCGTATCTGATCTGAAAGACCGGCTGAGTCTACGGACGCAATGGTTGTGTATGATTTTGTGCATGATGATGTATTTTAAATAATGCATTAATACACACGGATCGGTTGCGATATCATTACTTTATATTATATATTGCTTTATATTTTATATTGGAAATGAATAACCAATTCAATGGGGAGTGCGAATTTTCGTTGGCGACTCCGACTTTATGCTCCTCGTATTCTTTTACAGCGCGGCTTTTACTGGACAAGATACGCAAAATAGGGTTCATTTAACCAACTGAGCGGTGAGAACAGTGAAATACCACAGCCCGAGAAAACCGGTGTTGTCACGATCGATTCTTGATAAAAGGAAAAGAAGCAAGCTGAAGAGTTCGATGGCGCCGTCAAACTACTTCTACGCGCGCGTGTTGTTTCACATTATCGTCTCGATAGGAATGGGATACAATGCTATCCTCTTTGCTTTCTGTTTGTCACTTTATGTTCACGAAGAGGCACGAGATAACGGAAGAGAGAGACTCATGGAGACGAATATCGGCCGGCAAGAATTTCAATTTCGTCCAAATACGATTATATTCAAAGCTCCGGTGGATTCAATTAAGATCGATTACAACGGGTGATTGTGATGCGACCAGCTATGGTCAACGTTTCGGTCATATCACCGAGCATGTTACCACCAAATACCATTACGCTGCGAGCATGACTCGTTTGCAAAATCAACAAGGCAATTCCAAATCTATCGGCTAGTCCCGCGGGGCAGACGATCCCATCGTCGCTTGCATGGTGATTGTCACAACGCGAATTTTTAAATGCTGATGGCACTCGCAGACTCGCGCAATAACTTGCTCGTCGTGCTTACATTAAACTCTGTTGAGTAATCCGAGTCGAAATGTTGCTTCAGTCTTTTTGTTTCAGTCTGAAACTTCAACTCGCTCAAGAGTCTTAATTCGCTTTAAGCTTGTAAAACATTCACCCTGATTCACCCTGATTTTAAGCTATGGTATTTTCATTACCGCAAAATCTTCGCTTTCAAGAGATATTTCACTCAATAAAATTTGCAGTTTCCGTTTAAAGAAATTCTACGGAAAATTGGAGAATTTTAAAAAATTAGAAATACACTGAGAGAAAAATGTATATTTGGAACTATAATGGCATAATAAAAAGATTATAGTTAGGAATATTATTTTTATAGTAAATGTCACCATAATGTTTACAATATAAGCATAGTATAATTGACCCATGTAAAACTTTTATCAAGAATTATAATTATTTGAAATAAAAAGTATAGTAAGGTAGCAAATATTGAAAGGTAAGAGAAATTAACTATTTTATATAGTCAATACAATTGGAATATTTGGCAAATATAAGTACATGTAACTATATTCCTAAAGTGTGCTTTACTATATAGAGTAATAAATCTGTGTTCATTTTACTATATCTTCATGTTTAGATGAACTATAAATATATGTTTAAGGCCAAAACGAACTATAAAATATAGTGAGATTATAGTTATTTAAATTATTTTTTTCTCTCAGTGTAGGGAAATTTTATATTAAATTCAGGAGATTTGTAAGAATTCAGGGAATCGTACAGAAATTTTTAAAAATTTGACCGAAAGAAATAAAAAAAAAATTGTACAGAGAAAGTTAGAGAATTTTAAAGAAATTTTAAACGGAATTTTAAAGTTAAACAATTTTTAAGAAATTTAAAGAAATTCCACAGAATTTCAAATTTCGCAATTCGAGGACGCACGCGGTTTCGTTACGATATCCTGCCGCTAGTTTCCGATATTGGAGCGCGCAAACAGGGACTTACCAAGTTCAGCAGATACACGTTCGTTACGGTGCGCATCTTCCTATTCCTCGCCAGGGTGATGAGTACCAGGGAATTGCCCACGATGGAGAGGAAGAAGATTATACCATAGAGCGGTATGATAAGAGTCTTCATGAGGCGGTCCTGGCTCGACTGTTGGCCGATCGGCAAGGTAACGTTCGCGATGCTGGAAGTGACGGTAGTAAACCGAGGCAGACCGGTAACGATCGGCGAGTAGCCATCGGTCTCTAAAGCACCGAAATACTCCGTGGAAACCAGGTTATCGGACAGGTTGCGCCCTTGAATCGACATTTTCTTGTCACCCGTGCACTTCGATCTCTCATCCCCCTTATCGATCCATGCGCTCATATCGATACGAGGATATCCTGGCCCGGGCGTTACATCGTGTCGAGATATCGCCTTCGCGGACTTATTTCTTTATTATTGTCACGGATTCTACCACGGCTCTATTTTATCACGCACACACGCGCACGTGCACACACGTAGAATTCATGAGCGTGTACATTTCGTTCATTGTTCGTGAATTTTCTAACGTCCTCGCGATCGAGAACCGTCCGCATTCAAGTCAGCGATTTCTCCTCTGAAACATATCCACACAAAACGATGATCTGTTTGAATCAATTATTCCGCCACGTGATCAATTAACGCGCTATTTTTCTGCGCGTTAACGAGGATATCGCGCGGAGCGTTGGCTAGCGGTTGTAAACATTGAAATAAACTAAAAAACCGATAAATAAACCGATTTCCTCGAGCGAGTGCCGCGTCCACTGTGTGATTGCAATTTTGCCCGATCATCCGAAACGTGCGATGACATCTCTCAAATGTTCTGCAAATAGAAGGAAACATACAAATTAGTAAGTTGCGCACACACGAGAAACCTGCGGGAGGACACAATCCTGCGAGTAACGCGATGTAATTAACGGACAATGTAAATATGCATACGCGTCCGGATATGTAATTCCGCTTGAGTTGCACTTTCAAACTCCAATGATTCATACGTAACGCGAACAGTAGAATTCTCACATTGCTTGAAGCTTGTTGAACTCGTCTAGTTTTCGATCAGACTAGAAACAGATACAGACTTCTCGTGCAGAACACAAACTTGAGAGAAATTAATTAAAGTCCATCCTTATATAAATATGATTACTTTCTCGCAATCTATGACTGTTATTGCAAACTACTTATGGTCAGTTATATCTATGACTGCTTACTGGATTTGCGAGTTAATCGTATTATCCGCTTTGGTAGTTTTTAGTCGCGTCGGGTTACTCTGACTGTTGCAGAGTTGGTGCGCAAATGGTCCAGATACGTTACAAATATCACAACTAATTGGCCTCAGGACCTTCCTATATCCCTCCTCTCTCTTCGCGCTGCACTTTTATGGTACTTTTGTACCTAACAGTGGCAGGCAGTGAACGGTATAATCGTTCTCGTATAATAAAAAAGCTTTTCGCGTTTATCCAGTCTTTGAGCTCTTTCAGTCTTGTCGCTTCTCTCTTGCATCTTCCCAGCGCTCCTTCGCTCCACTTCTGACGCTACATAAGAAATATGGTGCTTATCTGGGTAAGTCTTTCTTCTCACTTTCGCAATTTTCCGGCGTATTACCGATAATGCCGGTCGGTGAAGCGCATTCGCGGCGGGGAAGGAGGACCATCACGACAATTGCGACACGTGTGTTCCATTATACCGACTATCGAAATTTGTCAATATCAAGGCAAAAATCCCGAGGCAGCTTTCCAGCGGCTTCCGGGCGAGTCCAGGAAGCGCGCTGTTTCGAGCGGATCTAAAGTTCGTAGAGTGGCTTCCGAAAGATTTGAGCTTGAACCGCTGGCAGATCCGCCCACCGTAATGGCTAAATCCAGCCAGTAGACCGATTTTCTAACTTTATACCGACGATATTGCTAGCATGATGCTAGCAGCTTTTCTATCATGTATTACACTTGCACAACGATAATATGACGATAACAACACTTTCGTTAAAAGTTTCAAAGGCCGCTGTCTATATCTATTGACAATTGTTGACAACGTTCATCGATAATAAGAATAAAATTTCCAATAGTAAATCGATAAACGATGCTGCTCGTTTATGAACAACGTCGCTAATCAGACATCTTGAGACATCTTTGAGACATCTATTGAAACATATTGTACGTGACGATAACGTATCGACAACACTTTCGAAAGACGATCCTCTAAGATTATATAAATCAGTCAAGCAAGAATTTGCGAAAGAGTTTGTTTCATATATTTGTGTAATTTTTTAGTGTGATTTAACGTCTTCAATTTTAGCTTCTTTTTTTGCTTTAACCTTCATAAAAAATGCTATTTTTCATAGTTTATCATCTAATACAGATCAATGGGAATGTATTGAAAGTAAACGGTTATTACTTCGCAACAAACAGGCCGAATGGAATGAAAAAAACGTCTGTAGAGTACGTTTGTAGAGGAAACTTGTCAATTTTATTATCATATATATAAAAAAGGAATATAGTAATTTAATAATTGAAATATACATTATGGAAAAAAGGACAAAAATTTGGTTGCATTAATTAATATATGTTTTCAAAGTGTTGTCTATCGCAATTGACACAAAACTGTAATCGTTTTCGAAAACTTTGAAATACACTATCTAACATAGATATAGGAATGCTGCGAGTGCATTTTCGAATACTATCTATCAGCTCTGCGGTGTTTTAAGGTATGACGTAACATTTATCTTTAATATAACTCCAAAGAAAAAATCACACGGATTCAAATCGGGTGAGTAAGGAGACCATTCCAGACTTCCATGAGCAAATTTTCTTACTCACCCGATTTAAATCTGTGTAATTTTTTTCTTTGGGATTACCTTAAAAATAAATGTTACGCCGTACAACCTCAAAACACCGCAAAGTTGGTAGACAGTATTCAAAAATGCATTCGCAGCATTCCTATATCTATGTTAAATAATGTATTTCAAAGTTTTCGAAAACGATTACAGTTCTGTGCTAATTGCGATGAACAACACTTTGAAAACATAATTCATACACGCAAGCAAATTTTTGTCCTTTTTTTCATAATGTATATTTCAATTATTAAATTACTATATTCCTTTTTTATATATATGACAATAAAATTGACAGATTTCCTCTACAAAATGGCGTTTTACTCATTTCATTCGGTCTATTTGTTGCGAAGTAATAACCGTTTACTTTCTATATCTATGTTAAATAATGTATTTCAAAGTTTTCGAAAACGATTACGGTTCTGTGCTGATTGCGATGAACAACACTTTGAAAACATAATTCATACACGCAAGAAAATTTTTGTCCTTCCTTTTATAATGTATATTTCAATTATTAAATTACTATATTCCTTTTTTATATATAAGGTAATAAAATTGACAAGTTTCCTCTACAAAATGGCGTCTTACTCATTTCATTCGGTCTATTTGTTACGAAGTAATAACCGTTTACTTTCTATATCTATGTTAAATAATGTATTTCAAAGTTTTCGAAAACGATTACAGTTCTGTGCTAATTGCAATGAACAACACTTTGAAAACATAATTCATACACGCAAGCAAATTTTTGTCCTTCCTTTTATAATGTTTATTTCAATTATTAAATTACTATATTCCTTTTTTATATATAAGGTAATAAAATTGACAAGTTTCCTCTACAAAATGGCGTTTTACTCATTTCATTCGGTCTATTTGTTGCGAAGTAATAACCGTTTACTTTCAACACATTCCCATTGGTCACCTGTATCATTCATAATTATGACAGATGTTAACGACAAACGTCGTACTCTACCGGCAGTTGTCAGAAGGTGTGTATATTGTACTTACATACAGGTCAGTATGACGGATTATTTATGCGTTTCACTGGCAAGCGCGCGTAGTCAGTCTCAGTAGACCTTGGCTGAGTATTCGTACTTGGAACGTAAATTTTAAAGCGCTCAAATGAGCGCTTCGCCAAGATCTACTGAGATCGCACACAATTACACACGCTTGCGAAACAGATAGGCAATCCATCATGTATGTGAGAACATACAGTCGCGGAATAAAGTTAAATAAGTGACTGATTCCACTTTCTCCGTTGCAGTTACATGCAAGTCAATAAGACGTGTACACGGAGAAAAATAATTTGCTGGCTCAGCAAATTTTCTGCTGGTCTAGCAAAATCTTTTCGTTGTTATATGGACAAAAATATTTGCTGAGAGTACTAATCACTATTTGCTGGACGTAATTTGCTGAATCTACAAATTATTTTGCTATAAGAACCATAATGGATTTATATAAGCAGATGCAGTTTTGCTCCAATAACAAATAAATTTTTTAAGGATACATTATTTTGCATCAATAGCAAATTAACGTGATTCTTAGGACAAATACACTCAACAAATTTTTTCTATCCTGCTAACGAAACTACTTTTGTTCTTACAATGAATAATTTGTAAAATGAATTATGTCAACTGAATTTTTTTGATGTCATTACAAATATGCAGTAGCAACGACGATTTTGCTAAAAGAGCAAAATTATTTTTCTTTGTGTAACATATTCGTTTGGCTGGCAAACAACCGTAGATGTACGCGACCTCAGGTCTTGGCAGAATGTTCTGTTGCGCGCTTTTGCTCCTACGAAATTTATTATGTTCTGATGTACTCAGAAACTGAATCGCATGAAGAGTTGAAATCAGTCAACCTTATTGTCCGCGACTGTACAGAATAGCAGCCTAGAGTCAACGAAGCTTTTACGATTTTTCCTCGTCCTGCCTCTTGAATCTACGTTTCAATACGGCTCACTTCTTCCGATCAATTTCCTGGTTATACACCGACGAGAAAATTCGGTCGGATCCTTAATTATTCTCAAGCCACTTGGCGATAGATGTATCGCAGTGTTCGACGATGTGAGAAATTCTTCCGCCACGTCGCACTTCGCGAATATCACGTTCGGCGGCGTACAACCGCGACGGATCACAGAAATTAAAAGACAAATTCCCTATGTCCTGCGGCTGATCAGCATTCCGTTCATGGGAAGTCGGCCCGATTTTCCTTTTACGTCCATTTCACTTACAAATTACAAATATGCACGACCGCGCAACGTGACGCGTATAACTGATTCGTCAGTCATAGTTATCGCGGTGATACGCTCTCTCGAGTATCAATCATAGCTCCAGTCGATACGCCACGAACAATACGGTGTGTTTTACCAGCGCTCGGCAAATCGCGAAGTCACTGCGGGAAGCATCGCGATTCAATCTCGAAATATGCAACGAAACAAAAATATGTGCGTAATACTCGAGCCGATTCCGTGAAGTCCCGAGCACGATTCAATATGCGTTATAGTCCCTAGAAATTTGAAATTCCTTAACTGAATACATTTCTCTTTTCTGTGTAAAAGCATATATGACATATATACGATGCAGTTGAATAACAACGTATTTCTACATTGGCATCGTTCCTTTTTAAAATTTCATTATTTTATCGATGCGTCAGTGGCCGAATTGGGAAAGGCGTCCCGCCCGGATAGTGGAAAGGTTCCAGGTTCGAGTCGTGGCTGAGGTAGTATCTTTCGCGGAATTTAAAATAATTAATAAAAAGGAATCAATTACTCGAGGGTATCGGGTTTGAGAATAAAAAATTCGCGTTAATACTGGGATATAGGTTCGGTCTAAGTGTGGAAGGTTGATTCGCTACGCACGATTGCCGAAAGAAAATTTCGGACATACGTCTGACACGCTGGACAACTTTATTCTCCCACGATAAACTTTAATATTACACGTTTGTAATATTAACCCATTAAGGCCCAAGAGAAAACCGCTAAGTATAGGCTTTCAAAAATC